CCTATCCGTTCTCAATCCGACGGTGAGAACTTTTACTCTATTTCATATTGACTGACTTATAATTTCAATTGATAACCATATGCAAATATAAGAAGAGCTGTTAAATGTGGTAATGAAAGGTATAACTTATTTAGCTCATATGATAAAATGCCAACAGCATCTGGTGTTCCCAGGCGGTCACCCATCCAAGTACTGACCAGACCCAACGCTGCTTAACTTCGCTGATCGGACGAGAAGCGGTGCTTTCAACGTGGTATGATCGTTGGCGACAAAAATGGGAACATTAACCTGATTTCTCATAGCGCTTACATTTTTTTTTTTTTTTTTTCATACATCTTCTAAATGTAATGTAACATTTATTTTTCCATTATACTTCGTTAGCACTACATTCTACTTATGACGCAAGTATGAACAGAAACACATACTACCGCCGGCCTATATAAGATGAATTCCAGACGCTTATGTACGTTCTGTCTTATCTAGATACGCTTTTATCATCAAATTAATTCTTATGTTTTTTTTTTTCTTTTTCTTTTCTTTTTTTTACGAATAATTTGAGACGAAATTACTTGTCCTGGAATTAGATTTCCCTTCCCACCAATGCCATATTACCACTTGTCATATACTACTTTAAATGAATGGTCTAAACTGAAGAAAAAGAGGGCTGATTCCTCATAATATACTATTGAAAAATATGCCTTTCAATTATATACTTATATTTTATTTGAAACCCATCGATGTGGACTAAAGAATAATTGACTAAGACTCGTTTTGTTCCCTTCCAAAGAAATCTTTAGTAAATAGTAAAAGATGCGTTTTGAAAGGATTTTTTTTATTTTTATTTTTTATTTTTTATAAACATATACTCATTGGATTATTAATACCACAATCATTATCACTTTACGGTACTTTATTTTAGTTATACCCCTATCCGTTTTCTGTTTATCCTTGTCTCGCAATCCGATGGTGGTAACTTTTACTCTATTTCATATTGACTGACTTATAATTTCAATTGATATCCATAAGCAGATATAAGAAAAGCTGTTAAATGTGGTAATTAAAGACATAACCTATTTAGCTCATATGATGATAAAATGCCAACAGCATCTGGTGTTCCCAGGCGGTCACCCATCCAAGTACTGACCAGACCCAACGTTGCTTAACTTCGCTGATCGGACGAGAAGCGGTGCTTTCAACGTGGTATGATCGTTGGCAACAAATGAGTGAACATTAACCTCCTTTATCATAGTGCTTACACTATTTTCATGCATCTTTCAAATAGAATGTAACTTTTATTTTGCCATTACACTTCTTTACTACTACATTCTACTTATGACGCAAGTGTGAAGAGAAACACATACTACCGGCCCATATAAGATGAATTGCAGACGAACGGTTCACTTATAAATGTATATTGTACATTGCACGGATATACTTAATATGTACAAATATATCACCATCACAATATCTCTCTTTAGCCTATAATTATTGCTTCTATATTAGCAGATGATTATTGCTGCTATCAACATTATCATTATCGGATGCTTCCATAATGGCTAATGTAAATCATAAATGATCATATCAACAATACGGGTGATAATATTAATGAAGATAATGGGAATAAAAAATATCCATAAGCAGATATAAGAAAAGCTGTTCAATGTGGTAATTAAAGGCATAACCTATATAGCTCATATGATAAAATGCCAACAGCATCTGGTGTTCCCAGGCGGTCACCCATCCAAGTACTGACCAGACCCAACGCTGCTTAACTTCGCTGATCGGACGAGAAGCGGTGCTTTCAACGTGGTATGATCGTTGGCAACGAATGAGAGAACATTAACCTCCTTTATCATAGTGCTTGCACTTTTTCATGCATCTTTCAAATAGAATGTAACTTTTATTTTGGCATTACACTTCTTTACTTCTACATTCTACTTATGACGCAAGTGTGAAGAGAAACACATACTACCGGCCCATATAAGATGAATTGCAGACGAACGGTTCACTTATAAATGTATATTGTACATTGCACGGATATACTTAATATGTACAAATATATCACCATCACAATATCTCTCTTTAGCCTATAATTATTGCTTCTATATTAGCAGATGATTATTGCTGCTATCAACATTATCATTATCGGATGCTTCCATAATGGCTAATGTAAATCATAAATGATCATATCAACAATACGGGTGATAATATTAATGAAGATAATGGGAATAAAAAATATCCATAAGCAGATATAAGAAAAGCTGTTCAATGTGGTAATTAAAGGCATAACCTATATAGCTCATATGATAAAATGCCAACAGCATCTGGTGTTCCCAGGCGGTCACCCATCCAAGTACTGACCAGACCCAACGCTGCTTAACTTCGCTGATCGGACGAGAAGCGGTGCTTTCAACGTGGTATGATCGTTGGCAACGAAAGAGAGAACATTAACCTCCTTTATCATAGTGCTTGCACTTTTTCATGCATCTTTCAAATAGAATGTAACTTTTATTTTGGCATTACACTTCTTTACTTCTACATTCTACTTATGACGCAAGTATGAAGAGAAACACATACTACCGGCCCATAAAAGATGAATTCCAGACGAACGGTTCACTTATAAATGTATATTGTACATTGCAGGGATATACTTAATGTGTACAAATATATCACCTTTACTATATCTCTTTTTAGCCTATAATTATTGCTTCTATATTAGCATATGGTTATTGCTGCTATCAACATCATCATTATCGGATACTTCCATAATGGCTAATGTAAATCATAAATGATCATATCAACAGTACAGGTGATAATATTAATGAAGATCATTTGACTAAAAAATAAGCTTTTTCTTTCGGTCTGTGTGACACTTGCGTGTCCAATTACTTTGTTATTTCTGATTTGCGACGGAAGTTCATAGAAGATAAGTTTCTTAGATTTATTTGCACTATCACATGCATATATATTTTTTTCCGGATTAAACAAGGCTAGTCAAAACTTAACCTATACCTAAACATTTACTAATTTGATTATTAATAACACAATCATTATCTCTTTACGGTACTTGACTTTAGTTATACCCCTATCCGTTCTCAATCCGACGGTGAGAACTTTTACTCTATTTCATATTGACTGACTTATAATTTCAATTGATAACCATATGCAAATATAAGAAGAGCTGTTAAATGTGGTAATGAAAGGTATAACTTATTTAGCTCATATGATAAAATGCCAACAGCATCTGGTGTTCCCAGGCGGTCACCCATCCAAGTACTGACCAGACCCAACGCTGCTTAACTTCGCTGATCGGACGAGAAGCGGTGCTTTCAACGTGGTATGATCGTTGGCGACAAAAATGGGAACATTAACCTGATTTCTCATAGCGCTTACATTTTTTTTTTTTTTTTTTCATACATCTTCTAAATGTAATGTAACATTTATTTTTCCATTATACTTCGTTAGCACTACATTCTACTTATGACGCAAGTATGAACAGAAACACATACTACCGCCGGCCTATATAAGATGAATTCCAGACGCTTATGTACGTTCTGTCTTATCTAGATACGCTTTTATCATCAAATTAATTCTTATGTTTTTTTTTTTTCTTTTTCTTTTCTTTTTTTTACGAATAATTTGAGACGAAATTACTTGTCCTGGAATTAGATTTCCCTTCCCACCAATGCCATATTACCACTTGTCATATACTACTTTAAATGAATGGTCTAAACTGAAGAAAAAGAGGGCTGATTCCTCATAATATACTATTGAAAAATATGCCTTTCAATTATATACTTATATTTTATTTGAAACCCATCGATGTGGACTAAAGAATAATTGACTAAGACTCGTTTTGTTCCCTTCCAAAGAAATCTTTAGTAAATAGTAAAAGATGCGTTTTGAAAGGATTTTTTTTTATTTTTATTTTTTATTTTTTATAAACATATACTCATTGGATTATTAATACCACAATCATTATCACTTTACGGTACTTTATTTTAGTTATACCCCTATCCGTTTTCTGTTTATCCTTGTCTCGCAATCCGATGGTGGTAACTTTTACTCTATTTCATATTGACTGACTTATAATTTCAATTGATATCCATAAGCAGATATAAGAAAAGCTGTTAAATGTGGTAATTAAAGACATAACCTATTTAGCTCATATGATGATAAAATGCCAACAGCATCTGGTGTTCCCAGGCGGTCACCCATCCAAGTACTGACCAGACCCAACGTTGCTTAACTTCGCTGATCGGACGAGAAGCGGTGCTTTCAACGTGGTATGATCGTTGGCAACAAATGAGTGAACATTAACCTCCT